CTGAAGTTGGGTGCATGGGCACTTCAATTTATTTTGAGTCCACCTGCCAGGCTCAACTTCCTCAGTCAGCACATGCAGCTGACCTCGTTCACTGGACGCCTGGTTGGCTGGATGGTCCCTCTCCTGCTGTGAAGTCACCGCCAACTTCAGACAATGCTCACTGTAGAACAGGTTCTCCTTTCTCATTTAAAATTGCATATCTGCCTCTATAAACTCCCTAGATCCCTTTTCTACATTAGTATATTGCCCCATAGCACTTTTCCAACGAACACTATAATTTACTTATTTGTTTAATGTCTGGTTTCTCCCACAAGAATATAAACTCCATGAGGGCAAATCTCTATTTGGTTCACTAATATGTTCTTAATGCCTTAATCAGTGCCTAGTATATAGTACATGCCTAACAAATTATTTGCTGAAGATTGAATGAATATGACATTCCCCCAGTTTATAATTTAAGCATAAAAAGTAAAAGCATGTAGAATGGATTAAATCAAATAAAGTCTCTATTTATATAAAATATATTTAAATGACTTTCAAAATTGAGAAGGATTTCCCAGTTCTTAAAAAGGCTAACATTAGGTTTGTCTCAGGGTATCAATTCTTACAACCATAAAACACGGTGACCTTTGAAATGGCATTTAAAATGTTCATGCTTCATTAAGGTCACACTTAATTTATGGCAATTAATTAGTGCTACATGAATTAACTGTTTACCATGGCACATTCTATTTGGTCCAGTGCTATCGACTCCTTAGATCTGACCTAAATGGCATAAGACTGGCTTGGAATTTAATTACATTTTTATTAGAAGTAACAATGGAGCAACTATGCGAATCCAAATGAAAAACCCATAATAAATAGCTTATTGATGACAGGCTACTTTAGGTGCTAAGAGACAGTCTAATCTTGGCATATTTGGATCTGTTTTTTCTTCAACTCAAATAAAGTAGTTATTCAGGAAGAGAAAGTTAATTTACTTTTCCTTCTATATGGCAAAAAGCCCCCAAAACCTTCATTGAATTCTAATGCTTTTTATTTATTACTTTTCAATATTAAATTAAAAAGTTACTACTTAATAATTGATATTTACAAGAATATGTTTATTCAAGTATATTTGTGAATGAAAAAATTCAGTTGAACTTCATGAATTTTTGGGAAAATGCGACTTCCTTATTTTGCTTTGCTGCTGAAAAAGGAATATAGGTATTTATCTCTCCTGAGAACATAAATCTCTGTATTGTTGTTCAATTTCCTGCAATGCCAAAGGAGTGGTATAAGAAAGGAAAGGAAAGAGAGGAAAGAAATGAGGAAAGGGAGAAATCCAAATATGCTTTGCTAATTTGACTACATTTGATTTTATAAAATGTCAAATTTGTTAGTTCAGCCAATTCCGTTTCTCCCTCCCCACATCATGTATATAAAACTTAAGAAATTATACAATGCTTTAGAAATGGGTAGAGGAGCTTAGCTGTGAGAGTTGACACCTAAAGCCTGAGAGGCGGGACATCCTTCTTACAACGACAACCTTGGGGGAAAATATTGTTGGATTTGTGAGCAAGAGGAATTCGATCCTCCTTGTCAAGGTCAAACACGATAGCATATATCTATTTATCTATAGGAGGAGATGGTTTAATGTGAGTATTTCCCCCCTGACTTTGCTATTCTTGCCATTTTCTTATTTAAAATTTAATTTGGATCTGTGGAGTGGAGTGCGGGGCTGTCTGTGGAAGTCTATGCCCCACAGACTAGAAAAGACAGGGAATTAAGGAGCTAAGGTGCCACTTTCAGCTCTGCTTTGTACATTAAAGATTATATTTACACAATGGAATCCTACACAGCAGAAAGAAGAAGGAATTCCTACCTTTTGTGACAGCATGGATGGAACTGGAGAATATTATGCTAAGTGAAATAAACCAGTCAGTGAAAGATAAATACCATATGATCTCATTTATAAGAGGAATTTAAGGGAGAAAATAAACGAACAAGCAAAAACAGGACCAGAGACACTGAAATAAAGAGCAAACTGACAGTAACCAGAGGGGAGAGATAATGGGGAAAAAGGGGGAAGGGATTAGTCAAAGAACATGTATGAATGCCCCATGGACAATGGTGTGGGGATTGACTGCGGGAGCGGCGGGTGGGCTGGGCATTTCTGGAAGCAATTTCAGGAAAATCTGTGCTTGAACAGAGTATATCTTCACTCCCCCCCAAAAATGTACTAAAAACCTACTAAGTGCCAGGCATTTTGCAATATGCTATTGATACAAAATGAAGAAGATACAGTCCCTGCTCTCCAAAGGATCACAAATTAGTAGGAGTAATGGACTTAGAGCGATACGGTAAGTGTCTGTAAAAGACATAGGTATGAGGTTCAGCAGGAGACAGGAAGACGAGCAGCTAGCTTTCTGGATTGGTAAAGAGGTAATGTATAAGCAGCACTCTGAAGGATGAATAGGATTTGTCAGTTTTAATAGTGAGAGCATGGCCATGGCTCATTCTGGGCAGGAGGAGCAGCACATGAACAGTAACCCAGGAAAGGCATCAACTGTTAGAAACACTAGGAATGCACTGAAAGATTTTAAGCAGGGACATGACTTGATCATATTTTTTTCTCCAGAAAATTCTGCAAAATGGTGAATGAATGGCATTTTTGAAGGGCTGGGGCGAATGGAGCCAAGTTGCCAGACAAGACGTGAAGACACCAATGAAAGGGGCAAGGCGTTTTAACAGCCTAAACCCGTGGCTGTCAAACTTCCGCATGCATGAGGGTCGCCTGGATGCCTTGTCATGAAAGAGACCATTAGGCTCCATCCCCAAGCTTTCTGATTCAATAGCTATGGCTGCAGGCCTAAGAATTTACATTTCAAACAAGTTCTCAGGTGGTTTAGGATGACTTCCAGGTTTTTGGTTTAAGCAGCTGGGCGGATCCTGGTGTCATGAAACAAAAAGAGAAAGTATGAAGCAAGTGCTTCTTTACCCAGCAACCCGCCTCCCCTTTCAATGCTGCCTCACCTGGCCCTCCAAGGTTTACCTGTTCCTAACTGGCCGTCTCCCTGCTCTGGCGACCGACCCTTCCCTATTACCCACATCTCAGGCTGCTGAGCGCTAACTGGTCTCATTTGCATGTCCCTGGCTTATGCTCCCAGGATCCAGGTCTCTTCGTTTATCACAGACCAAAATGGATCAATGTGTTATTGATTATGAAAATGGGAATTTGATGCTCCTCCAGGGCGAGAAGTTTCTACTTTAATAGTGGCCTGCCTGAAACCAGGCCTCAGCCCCATGCAGTGATTCAAATGGGAATTTCAGGTACCACAACAGGCAATCTGCATGGCTCATTCCTGGATGGTGGGGGTCCACTGATGCCTCTCAGTGAACAAAGACTTGCCTTGCCAATGCAGAGAGGCAGGCTGGATATATATGACAGGTGCCAATTATAATTTCCAATTTTTTCGACTCTGACCCAGATGAAGTGGGTCACAAATAGGTATGACTTATCTTTGCCAAGGAAAAATAACAGTGACTTTAAAAGATACTTTCATTTAACTGTAATCTAATAACCCTCTGTTTTGATAACTTGCTTTAACTACACGTGCATAAAGCAAGATCAGACAGTGGGCATAAAATCTTCTCCCCTACAGCAAATTATGTAGGTGCGTATTCATAGTCTCTCTCTCTCTCTCTCTGTTTGGGAGAAGTTACCATATCCCATTTTGTATCAGACTCTGTACAGTTAGGACTGTAACCTACCTTGCAGGGTGTTGGCTGGAATAAATAATATAATGTATATAAAGTATCTAATCTATTGCCCTGTATAATAAATATTCTTTCCTCTTTTCTCCTGATGATTTGTTATTTAGCCACTGGGAACCGACCAAACTCTGAATATCTTTGAAAGGCACCACCACTGGATGAGTAAACAAAACAGCAGGGACGTCATTCTGGTCAGGGTGCACCCAAACGAGCGACTGCAGGCTTCCACAGGTCATTTTGCAAATCACATCTGTAAATGCCGAAGACTACATTAATGTTAAGGGTTGCTGCTTTCAAATTAGATTTTCTTAGGCTTCCCATTCCACTATTTCTCTCATTTCTACTCCAATCATAGCAGTTATTGCCTACTTGATTTTGATGCCCATGACTTAAAGAAATTCAGTCCTTTTTTACAACAGGAAAAAAAAGATTAAGGATAACCAATAGAGTTAAGAGCTGTATTTTGGCCTTCAGTGGTTAGTTCTGTATGTTCTAGATGGTATCATGACTGGTTTTTATACCAGCCATATTCACACTTTTGGGAGTTTTATCCTGGCTTCCATGAAGACCTCATTAGAATCCGGTAATGATTATTTATTTAGCGTCCGCTGCATAAGACTTCTGCAAGGTCTATATTCTACCTATACCCATGCACCCATTTGTTCCCATACTGTAGTCATCATCCATATCACACCAGGAGTTTTTGTAGAAGTTCTAGAAGGAAGGATGTAGAACATGCCGTAATTTTTCCTCGACATGAACAACATTTAAACTATTTGTTTTCCAACTTTGGTTGGAAAACAGGTTATTTTCAAGAATCTGACGGGTTAGGTTTCCCATAGTTTGTTAAGCTCCCTGCGTAACAAAATTACTTGCTGGGAAAGCATTATCAGGAAATTTGGTTATTTCTAAATTCATTGTACTCCTGTCCCTTGTTGCCCTCTACCCTTGCCCGACTCACCTGAACAGTATATGGCAATATCCAGTCAATATTAGATTATATGTCCAGAGGGAATCTCAGGTAAATATTGTGTATGGAAAAAATAATAGCTGAAATCATTCATAAGACAATTTGATACGTACTACTTCAAGGATCAAAAACTTGACTTGGCACTATGAGTAGGTTCAGTTTCTGTCCTTGGAAAAATCTTCAAAACACCCTTGCTCAAGGGGATTCTTCTTTAGTAACTTTAGTAGGTTTTACCCATAAGTGAGGGATCAGTTGCACATGCTCTTGTACTCACCTATGAATCTTACGATCCTCCGGAGTAAGGGGTTCAGGTAACAGCATTCTCCAGTTAGAATTGTTTTCTCCTGGGCAATCAGAGATTCTCTAGTTGACTTTATGAAATACATGGATACCTCACCAATAAAAATCTGCAGAAGAAACGTTTGAGAAAGGTCAAGTTGGAGAGCTGTCTGATGAAAAAGACCAGTGGCTTCAAAAACAAAAACACAGAAAACTTCTGAGGTTCCACAATCCTTTTAAAAGATACCATGTTGAAGAGATAACAAGTTAAAGAGTAGTTTACATTAAACTCATCAAAAGAATTAGAGAAAGCAATAATTAATAATTTCAGATAGATTTCTGGCTATAGTATTAAACTCTAAGGTCATATAAAAACATCACTTAAAATAAAAAAATTGTAATAGAATTCATGATAAGATTTACTCATCCTGGGATTGAACTTTTTTTAACTCAGTATATGAATTACAATCCTGAGAACTGACTGAGAAAGCCAGTGTGCCCAACAAGGTGTCACATGCACACATCAGAATGTTATTACTTTATTATATGGCAATGCTACCTTTATTTACATAATAAATATTTATTGAAACATGTTTGCCGGTGCTATAGTTCTCCTCCTCTGAACTGTTTGGCTGTCCCTTCTTTATGATTAGCAGCTCTCTCTTGCTATGTTGAACTAATATATGTGCAATTACCAGTTAAATCATAATGCTTTTGCATAGATTGTAAACTCCCTGATGACAGAGACTGCATCTTGTAGTTCTTCATTATGCTTCTAGCACACAGCACACTGTATTCCCATTTAAAATAAGGAACTAGCATGAGGCCAGTTGTCACCAACTCTGACACTGCCACAGTTGAAGACTGAGAACCACCAATGAAGAATAAAAAGTTAATAGTTATCATCATGTATTGAAAACTGGCTGTCAGGCTCTATATCAGAGCATTTTCCACACTCACAAGGTCCCCAGTAGAGCTACTATTGCTCTTGCTTCACTAGTGAAGAAGGAAATTTCAGCAAGGTCAGGTGACTGACCCTCCATAGCACACAGCTGGCACATACAACACTGGGATGGGTACCCAGGACAACTGGGTGTCAAACTCCACACTTCCCACCACATCATATGCTACCCTTATTTTCCTAATCCTCTATTTCAACATTTCCCCAGAAGAATGTGATGTTATGGATGCTCTTCTTTGCTATGTATATCCTGTGGTTTCAAATAAACTCCATCAATCAATGCTTAAGAATCCCCAAGACTTACATTCCCCCCTCTGTCATTATGGATTATCTGTTTAGATGAATAAAGGTGACGATATCATGAATGGCACATGGGTGATGGAAATTAAACTACAGAATTTTAAAACTGGAATCATTTACAGATGTGTTCCCTTTCCTTTTATAAGTGAGGAAATTGAAGGTTTCAGGGACTTGGCCAGACACAGCTAGACTGTGTCTGAAGCAGCTCTTGAATGTGGCCTCTAAATCAACACTGTCATCCTGACTGTACAGATGAGACACCTGAGGTTTAGAGGGGTTAAATAATTTATCCAAGGTCATCAGAGCGAGTTAGTCACAAACCCCAGCTCTGAACCCAGGAAAGCCTGGCTCCAGAGTTCTTCCTCTTAATCATTGCACCTCTACTGACTCAGCAAAAATATCCATTGCATTTGTGTCTAATAAAAGAAAACAGAACATATTACATGAGATATGCCTTAAACACTGAAAAACTCACCCTAAAGTACAAGAAAGAATAGTGTAGCAAACAGAAATAGATTATAGGCAAGTCAGAATGAGGTGGGAAGTGGGTAAGAATAGACAGAATTCCGTGTCAGGCAAATAATGGTCCAGCATGGGTCACCTCTGTAGGGGCTGAAATATTTTGTGCCTGACACGCCTTGGAGTTGACAATGAGTTAATGAGCTCTGCCACGTAAAAATATTTGAATGGCTTCAAGAACTCAGCCCTCCCTCTCTGCCTGTAAGACTTCTCTCTGCCAAAATGAGGTGCCAAGGGCCTTTGTTTGTCCTTACTGTTCATGATGGAACAGCGTTACTCTATCTTAGTGAACAGATGGGGATACATGCATGCATGCTCGGATACATAAAACAGTATTTCCTTGAGGGAGCCTTCTCTCATTCCGGAGACTAGCTTAGACATTCTTGTTGTACATGAATCTCTTACCTTGTGTTTCTCCTTTCTAGTTCTTATCACAAATAATTACATATTATTGTTACTCTTTGTTATGGGATGTTGTGCCTCTCTTATTGTCTGTTGTATCCCAGGGGCCTAACCCAGTGGAGGGTAGATAGTAGTTAATCAATGTTGAATGAATAAAGCGCATCAGATTAATGAAGGCCTTTTGAAATATAGGTTTAATTAGGTGGATTATAAAAAAAGAAAAATGATTTTTATTATTTAGCTTTCCAGACTCACTGAAAATGTCACTGTTCTTTCCAAAGCCTTTGCCAGGCCCCCTCAGGAAAAGGGAGGCCCCGTTTTGTCATTGCTCCCCAACACATCATACAGATCTCTATTCTATGCAATTAATTACAGTTACTGTGTGTATGTCCCTCTTTACTTGACTATGATGTCCTTATGGGAAGGACTTTTGCCCTCCCTTGAATGGTGCCTAGAATAGGACTATATATAGTAGTCTCAATCAATATTTGTTGAATGAATAAAAGATTGAATCTTTAGAGGATCTACTTATAGAGAGAAGCCTCTGACCTTAATTTCTCTGAAGACGAATGCTGCAGGAAATTCCCAATATGGACTAGACAGCATGCATTTATTGATGTGCTGCTTAAGAATAAATAAAAACCAAGGACTAAGTGACACAGAGTAAGTGATCTCTTTTAAATTAAATTCACTCATAAGTTAATTTTGCATTTGCCAGTTTTAAGGATGGACTCGTTCCAGCTGTGGGGGTTGGGAAGACAACACAAACTAATAAATGTCTGATGTAATGTCATGAAATGATTAAAAAGTAAATCAGGGAAATGGGATGGAGAGTGATAAACATGAGAAAAAAATAAAAGGAGAAATAAGCATCGCTTCCTGCAGCCATTTCAGGAGCTGAAAACATTCTTACTCTGCAGGAAAGAGCCATGCAGATTCTAGGAGTTCCACATTCATTGAAGCTTTCTACTACTCACACAAGAGGGCAAAAAAGCAAGAAGATGTATGAGAAAAATTTATACACAACCTATTCTTATTAAAAAATACACGTGCCCTGGCTGGTGTGGGTCATTGGATTGAGCGTCAGCCTGTGAACCAAAAAGGTCACCAGTTCGATTCCTGGGCAGGGTGCGTGCCTGAGTTGCAGGTCAGGTCCCTCGATGGGGTTTGCAAGAGGCAACAGGCAATGGATATTTCTTTCCTTTTCTTTCTCTCCCACTTGCCCTCTCTCTTAACAAACAAAAAAGAAAAAACAAAAACATACACACACACACACACAAAATGGAAACAACATCACTTCAAGGCATAGCAGACCAAATAGAACTTAGGCAAAAGAACATGGGGTTCAAATAAATCGTAAGTAAAATGTCCCATGACCCTCACGTCAAAGGTGGTTAGCAGTACCAAAAACGTTACTATTGGTCAACAATATTCAAATCACAAGGGAGGTATGAAGCATTAAAAAATATCAGAGCAAGGATATATACACTAATCTATATGTCTAGTTAATGCCTAGAATACGTTAAGTGATAATGAACATTTACAAAAAGAAGGAAGGAAGGAAAGGAGGGAGGGAGGGAGGGAAGGAGGGAGGCATCTTATAAATTATACCTTTGTAGGAAGTTATTCCTGGTTTTCAGTTAAGACTGATGGACACAAGGGTTGCTGATGAAACAGTCTAGCTCTCAGACCTCAGTGAGTGTGCGTCATGGATGTTCCTTTTCCTGCATGTTACTGGCCATACATAGGGTGTTATGTCTCCATCCACTGGGTCCGACAGTCCCAGATTCTGCTTGGAGAAAGGGAGAAGGAGGATTCTACTTGATAAGGGGAAGGAGTCTCCTTTCCTGCCAGGTCTCCAGTCCACGTTAGATGCCGTTTTGCACATTGTGTCAGATTTATGGCTCTGGTTTTGGCAATGCATGGGTTCCCCCATGTGTCTCTTTGCCACACGTACTCTGCCTCTATCTACCACTCTGTTTGGAGAGCAGCTGGGACATGTGGAACTTGCCATGTGTTTGGCTCTGGCTGCCCTACCTATTATGGCCTTTCTGACTGTTAGTTAAGAGACATCATATCACTCACAGTAAATGAGAATACCCTTGGGTAAGAAATGATCAAGGCCAAATTCTAGATCTGGTAATGAATAAACTGCAAATGAATTCCATTAGTGCATTTCTCATTCCCCAGCTATACTGACTACAATCCCAAGTGACAACAGACATTTAGATAATAGTAAATATACTGTAAGTAATGAGAACTATTCTATCTTAATAAAGTTGTCTGTAAAATATGGAAATCCAAATGGCAAATAAATAAATAACCCTGGAATGTAATATATCAGTTTGGTGTGCTTTTAGTCTTCACTTCTTCACAATGTTTCATAGGATATCTGGTAAATGATAAATAAGTGATATAAATGCAAAATATTTAGGGAACAGTTTTTAGACTTCAAAATATAAAGTGTGCAGAAAAAAATAGGCACTGTAAGATGTATTATAATTTTATATTTTAAGGGGGATGCAATGCTTGTTGTATGTAGTTGTCATTAAAAAGGGGACCTAGGATTCCTGGAATATATATTCTAGGTTCACACATATGTTAATTGTAGCTCTGGTAATTGGCAATATCAAAGTCAGTGCTGTTTCTTGAATATGGGCTATGAAGTTGAAATCCCAGCCTCATAGCCTTTCTTCTTTCTCCTTGATGGGTGATGTTGGGCAAGTAATTGAATTTTTTGAGCTTTTTCCCTTTTTCCCTTTTTTCCCTTTTTCCCTTTTTTCCCTTTTTTCTTGATTTTGAACATGAGGGTAATAACTATTCATATATTAGAAAATTGTTGAGATTACTAAAAAAAAAGTATGTCAAAGCATCTATAGGTACTCAAAGGATGTTTGTTGCTTTCTCTTCCTGGTGTATCTAGGCAAGTATGCCTGTTGGAATTAG